GGGAACTTGTTATTCAAGACACAAGGTAAACATTATTAATTTGTTGTGATGGGTGTGTTTGTGAATGGTTATGTGTTGTTTTGTTGTTTGGAAAAATTATGAATTATTAAAAATAAATACTGTATATATACTTGTTTGAAATTATTGCCAAGTGGGTTAAAAATTTATTTTTGTTTATCATGATGAGATATTATTGTTTCGATATATTCCTGTTTGGATATTTGAATGATGCATGACTTGTCAGGGTATTTTAATGTATGGTGTTAATGGGAATTTCTGTTCGGTTAATTATTACCACATGGTAAGCCCTCATTGGACCCAATGAGTGGCGTGTCGCTTGGTCCAACTCACCTTTGGCCGGGTGATTTGGCGTCCGAGCATGGCGAAAAGGAGGATATAAGGTGCAGTCATACAAATTAAATACTTGTTCGGTTTGTTTGAAAATATTGTTCGGTTAAATGTTTTGTGTGCCCACTTAGCAATCGCATGATTAGTTACAACCGCATGCATCATTACATATTAATTTTTGGTTACTGGGACTTTTAAGTCTTATTCCCCGTGATTAATATTTTTACAAGAGCGAGTCCGGCCGAGAAAGCACCAGAGGTGTAACTATGGTGTATGAAACACCATCTTTTGCGTTGCCTCTTATTTTAGATTATACAATGTATCTTGTGCCAACTTAGGACATATCTTCTTTGTGAAGCATGTAAACTCTAATCCTTTTTATTAAAAGTATTTATTTGACCAAGAGGGTTATGTTTGTCCCTCTTGATTCATGACCTAATTTAAATATCATGTCATGAGGATCCTGTCTGTCCCTCATGATTCTAATTGCTTTTTGAGATATTTTAAGGCCTGTGGTATATTATCTTGGATGTATCATGGTAAGAAAATTTTCTACCATAATAATGGTTTTAATAATTTACGAAAAATTCGTTTGTATTTTTGAGGGTGTTACAGCCATCGCCTTCATTCTTACTGCGTCGCCGATTGATTCCTCAATTCCCAAATCTTTAATTTATGCTTCTTAAATTTGTTTTTGTTTTTTGGGTTTTCTTCAGACAAGTGAAGCACAATAAAGATAGAAGGGTGAAAGGAAAGAGATGAGGGTATTTGAGTTTTTTTGTCAATTTTTTTGGTTTAATCCAATTTCATTTTTTTTAATTTCATGTCATACCAAATATAATTTTTAAAAGTTAATTCTAGTCTCATTCTCAATCTCAATCTCAATTTCATTCTCAATCCTTTAAAATGTAATACCTCATATCAAACAGGCCATAAGGAGGAACGTGTTCGGTACTTCAGTTCTGTTGGCCGTTATGCTTTGAAAACAAATGGGCCAGATTTATGAAACAAACTAGGCCCAACAGAACAATATAAAGCTGGTGTTTCTAATTCTCTGTTCGTTCAAAAGCAGAGCGCAGTTGCAGTTGAAGTATTGTCGAGGAAATCTTGCCTGAAAAGAAACTAGAGGCTATCTCCCAGATTTGAGGGGAAAGTGAGAGATATCGGGTATGGAGAGGCTACAGAGGATGTTTGCAGGTGCTGGAGGTGCACTGGGGCACCCACCTCCTGACTCGCCGACACTTGATTCCTCTGAGCAGGTTTATATTTCCTCGCTGGCCCTTCTCAAAATGCTCAAACACGGTTAGTTTTCTTTGCATGCCTTTCCGTCTTTTGAATCTCATGACTGTACAACCTAGCAGAATTCCAGGAATCTTGAGTTTTGAGCAGGGATAAATTTACATTCCAGGAGTGGTTAGGGTTCTGGGATTACCCCTTCCCTTTCTGCTTATGCAGTCAGCGATTTAGAACCCTTGTCTGAAATATCATAAAGCACTGGTTTTGTTCATGATTTACCTTTTTTCTGAGAAAGTTGATGTGATTTATAGGAAGAGCCGGTGTTCCCATGGAAGTTATGGGTTTGATGCTGGGGGAGTTTGTGGATGAGTATACCGTCCGCGTTGTAGATGTCTTTGCGATGCCACAAAGTGGTACTGGTGTTAGTGTTGAAGCCGTCGATCATGTTTTTCAGACTAACATGCTTGATATGCTGAAACAGACTGGAAGGTATTATCGTTTTCCTTTGATTTGCTTCTTATCGTTGTTGAAATACGAATGTTTCTATCTTGAATCCTTTAACTTGGAAGTCCCTTGCGCTTGAGTGCTTTTTTGTGTATTTGCGGTAACTTCCTTTCGTAGCCAAAATTTTTCAGTATACAAAAGATTATATGATGTAGACGCCCTACTTGTGGGCGTGCAAGCATCGTAATTAACGAGAATCTAGTCATTTAGTAGGGTTCCTTTTATCATCTTTAACAGACAATGGTAAATATTACTTAGTATAAAAGCCCTTATTATAGAATGCTAGGGTGGTTGACTTGATCCTCTTAGGATATGGAATGAGATCGTGACTAAGAGTTAACATCATGGAAGTTAAGCTGTTTTTGTAGTTGCTGCATTTTCCATCTTGTTTCAATGAATTACTTTTGTTTAAAAAAAAAAATTAGATGCGAAACAATTATGAGAAAAACATCCTTATTTGAAGCAATTAAGTTTAAAATCACGCGTGCTTTCTTACTCCTTGCCTTGCTGCACCTGCAACTCAGACTTAACCTCTTTTGCTACTGCTAATGAATTCTTCTGAAAGGAAGGAAAAAGAAACCCTCCTCAGCTGCTCAAGCTGGTGCCGTTTCTGATACTCACCTCTCCCTTCCCTCCTTTATTGCATTCCACCCATTGTGTCTTCTATCTAACTTATTCCAGTGCCCGCTTCTGTTATCCAGCAGCTAGGTAAGCCTACTGCTCATTTCCAATAACAGCCCACTCATGCTTCCAAGAATAGAACTTTATAGTTGGTGACCTATCATATTGCACTGTTGATTATATGGGTTTTGATAAATCTTTGTCTTGGTGTTTCAGACCAGAGATGGTTGTGGGATGGTATCATTCACATCCTGGGTTTGGTTGTTGGCTTTCCGGAGTGGACATTAATACACAACAGGTTACCTCTTGTCTTTGTCTTGTACTTCCTTTGTTACAAACCAGGAAGGGGAAAATAATGTCAAAAAATTATTCAAAGGTTTGATGCATAAATTGACTATATGCTTTGTATAATACAGAGTTTTGAGGCTTTAAATCAACGTGCTGTGGCCGTGGTGGTGGATCCTATTCAGAGTGTTAAAGGCAAGGTTGTAATTGATGCATTTCGGCTGATTAATCCACAAACTATGATGTTGGGTCAGGAACCAAGGCAGACAACATCTAACCTAGGGCATTTGAATAAGCCATCTATTCAAGTGAGCGTTCAGTGAATATCTTTCAGTTGTGAAACTTCTCCACAATTTTCTGTCTTTGATTCTGATTTTGATATCTTATTCTTGCCCCCTTTATAGGCTCTTATCCATGGTTTGAATCGACACTATTACTCCATAGCCATTAATTATAGGAAGAATGAGCTCGAAGAGAAGATGTTACTAAACCTTCACAAGAAGAAATGGACTGATGGTTTGACGCTGAGGCGTTTTGATGCTCATTCCAAAACCAATGAACAGACTGTTCAGGTAAGATAATTTTTTTTTTTAATCATGAAACGGAAATAAATGTACCTCATTTTTTTAATTCTTTACGCTCCAATTTGTTCCTCTCACCCATATGGGATGAGGACACATGTAGATTTTTTTTTTTTGGTCAAACGCGTATTTTTAATTATAGGAGATGTTAAAGGCCTAAAGCACCCTGTGGGATCAATTATTCAGCTCCTGATGACGACATTTTTTTATAATTTTTTTTTTTCATCAAACGCATATTTTTAATTATAACAGATGTTAAACGCCTAAAGCACTCTGTGGGATCAATTATTCAACTCCTATAGAATGAGTGGCCTGTTATTTAAGTAATTCTTCATGTTGATATAAATGGTTCTCTTTATTGATTGCATATCTCTGATTTATTTCAGGAGATGCTGAACTTAGCCATCAAGTACAATAAAGCCGTGCAGGAGGAGGATGAGTTGCCACCAGAGAAGCTTGCAATTGCCAACGTGGGTAGGCAAGATGCCAAAAAACATCTCGAAGAGCATGTTTCCAATTTGATGTCTTCAAACATAGTTCAGACTTTGGGAATGATGCTTGACACAGTTGTGTTTTAGAGTCAGTGTCATCATGGAGTTATTGATTATATGTCTAGCACTCAATTACTCAGAGCACTCATGTTTACCCAAAAAAGAAGAGCACTTTCTTGTTTGTCAGCGGAAACTGATGTTGATTAACCTTTTCTACCTCATAATGTGAGCGTTTCAGCTGGAGCGGTGGGTTGCATATTGTTTGGGGATAATGATCGTTTCAATATTTATTAGTCCTATACTCCTATGTGATTGTGGACTTAATTGAATTTGTGTTGAATAAGAACTAAGAAGAAAACAGATTTCCGATCAAACATAGCTGATTAAAATGAATAGTCCAGCGTTTGTTTGCCAGTAAGTGTTAATTGACTGATAGAGAAATTGCGAAGTTCTGCGCCTTATTGTTGCTGTAAAATAATTTGAAGGAGATTTTCAGTCTCCGCAGCTTTGTTGGTGATTCCAGTTCAAGAAATTTTGTTCGAATTGGACTTTTTAAAGGTACGTAAACATAGACTTCTATGATATTCTGCAGTTCCTGCACGGCAATTCCAAAATGCAAACATATCCTTGGCCTATTGCAAGCTCAAAAATGCTATAGCCAATCGGAACGTGAATCAATCCGAGTATCCGCTCACGTCTTTCCTGGTTCAGTTCTCCCTACCAGATGAGATGCAACTAAAGGTTTTCTGTCTAGCTTCTTCACCGTTCCGAGCAGCTTCTAGCAGTTTGTCTATGCTTGGACTGCCCTGTGACCTGGCTTCCACTATACATAATACTTTTCTCTATGAACCCCGGTTTCCCGTCCATCAGCTCGACCTTGCGTCCCAGCAACGGCAGCTAAGGCATTGCAAACGCCCTAGTTGTAACTTGACAGTTTATGAAATTTGTTTTTTATTATTTTTAAACAAAATAAAAATATGTTTTTATGCACATTTCCATTCGTCGTCTTTTATGCCGGGCATTATGCATTATGCATCATAATTCATCCTCTACTCTGGGAATGACTCTCACGCACTCGTACATTTCTCGTCTCGTCTCACGAGTTACATCAGAATTTATTTCTTATACGGATACGAAACATAAACTGTGGTTGACTTCAACAGAAGCTAAATAACTTTAGGCATCTTTTGTACTCTGCTGCTTTCTACGCCACAGCCATGACTCTGAAGGTGACTTGGGCAGGGGTGGTAGCAACACGGCTTTCCGGCAGAGACCAAATGGCCACCCCTCGCAGTGACAGAGTTCTTGAATAATGGAGCGCCTCCAATATTCAGAGAAATCAAGGTCGTTCAAGCTTGAACACGGCGAGAAGTTTGTCTTGACAGAATAAAACGGTTCTCCGCTCAAACGACTTGAGTGACATGAGAAACAACTTTTAACCGACAAAAACTCTTCCTTTTCATCATCGTCGACGTCTTCCCTTTCATGTAGCGCCACCATCTGAGTGATATACAGTTCTCTTGTCTCAGGAGAGTAAACCCAGGAAAAGTTGTCTCTCGCGACACTTGGCTTGTGCTTTTGTCTCTCCATGGCTCTACTTTTAACCGCTGAGACAACCACCTGAAAAACACGGAGGGAAAAAATAAAATAAAATCATGGAATTCACGTCAGGGGGAAATTTTCAAGGAAAAGATGAAATATATATCAAGGATGATCAGTGAGGTAAGCGTACTTCCTGTTCCTCATCAAAATCGCTGTTTGGGCACTCCTCATTGAGGCTTGCAGTTGAAAGCCGCCCACGGGAAGTACGGCAATGGGAAAATGCTTCCTTCAATGTTGCGGCAAGACAATTGTATCTCTTAGTAGCAGTATGGTTTGGAGGCTCTTCATGGTAGAACACGCCCATGGTTCCAGTTTTGCTTATTGATTTGTCAGAACATGAGAATATATACGGTAACTATTAATACCTGCATATTCACGCATATGCTGATGTTTTAATTGACCTGCTTTTTTGATAGTGGCCTCGCAGCGCCCTGATATAGTGATATCACTGACACTTTCCGTCCTTCAAGGTAAAGACAAGTCAAAAGGCCTAGACATCCCAACTAATTGCAATAAATTTCAATGGGGATTTTATTGCATACTTGACTGCCTTGATGGTGCTTGTATCCGTGTGCGAATTGGGGAACTTATCCAGAGATACACTTTAAGCTAAAGTCATGGTTCAAAAGACGTACCACCCAACCAATGCTGCTGTTTCATTAATTTGCTTAAATTGGTTGTCTCCAATTGAAAGTTACTATTGAAAAAACAACGGCGTCGGCAAAATCTTTTTTCCCATCTTATTATAGATATGGACTCGCATGATTTCAGGGGATTATGTCAAGTTACCCAAGCAAAGATGTCTGGACTCTGGACGCTAGACAAGACGGAAACTTTTCCAGAAGGGTCCACGTGTAATGCTTGTTCCAAATCTATTCTTGTACGTCTCCTTGAAGCTCCACAGTTTAATTGTAGGAAAATCCCAACAACATCCGTAATTAATATTCAAAGACAAGGTTAAAGTAGCAGTTAATATAACAATCATGTCATTATCATAAAGAGTAACAAACATTAATAACTTCTCATAACAGATCAAATAAGACGTTTGCAAGGGCAGAAGCTTATAACTAGACATTGAAAATTGATCTTATATCAGGCACAGTTGCTTGCCTAATTTCATAGCAAACTTGAGAGGTCAAATTGCCTATGCTCAGTTGCACATGACAGACAAATTGACGTACAAAGAGTATTAACAGTTGAATGAACGAGATCCTGTAGTTATAGTGTAAATTCTGTTATCATGATTTTCATGATCTATCTAATGAACCTATTTAAGGTTCATAAAAATAGGTGTGCATCCCCATTTTAGTTGCTGAAGTGCCGCTCTGTTCTGTTTGGTGATGAAAATATTGCCAGAGCCAACATGAGAGGATAATCCTAAAAACCATTTATAAAACCTTAGTCTGGGCAGAACCGAGGATCTGGATTAAATCTGAAAATTTTCAATAATGAACCTAAGTGCTATAGCCCTTGCAAGTTGTAAACAAGTCCAGTACTTCGGTGGAAATGAAGAGCTCTAAAATAATCCCGCAATTGCTATTTTATTCCAACAGATTAACTTATCGGGAAAAACTCACCGGACGCATGCGTCTGACCACAAAGCATAGTTCTTGAAGGGAAAATAGGAACAGGTTTTGACAACAGAAGCTTCAATGGTTCAGTTGGCAGATCTTTGAAGTTGCTGAGACGTAAGAGAAATCAAAGACTGTAGCTTAGCAACGGCCGAGGTCTTATCAGGTGGGCATTTGGAAAGAGAAATGTTCAAAGAATGGAGAGCCTCATCAAGCTTGCCAGCAGCCAAGGCAGCACACCCTGCTTTGTAAGCTTCGTCAGCCTCGCGGGCATCATATTGAGCCATCAAATAAGCACCAGAACTCTGGTTCGGGAAATAGGAAGAGGAAGATTCGAGAAGAGATGTGGCACGAGCATGCTCAAGATTGGAAATAGCCGAATCGATCTCTGCCATCAGAGCCTCAGGTGTCGCCGCGATTATGATCTTCACGCCATCATATACGCTCCAATGGGGCTTACCTTCTCCGGAACCCATATCACGCGCTAGGAATGTGAAATTCAAGTCGTATGTTCAAAACAATCCGATCGATCGATAAAAATTATGAGCTATACTGCAGATCCCAAAACCCCCTGCCCAATCAAGATTTCCGAACTCAGCTTTCAGATTGCACAATTCCGTCAAATTATCATGGTGGGCTCACCAAATGGTGAACAATAAAATGGCCCCAAATTACCATCTACAAAATCAGTCGGAGTATGAAGCAGGAGAAAGATGAAGAAACGAGACATTTGAAAATACAAGTTAATGATTCTTGTTTAATCCTTGGAAGTCCAGAAACAACCATACCGCATCCGCTTAAAGCCGTGAATCCCAGTCGCACAGATGGAGTGAATCAACTTCTGGATATTGGCCTTGCGGATCACACCATACACGTATGGTCCCTCACAAGCTCCACCACAGAATGCAAGAACCCAACAGTAAAACTATCAACACAGAGCCAGGTCTCTCGTGTTGGTTTTATTAAAAAACTAAAAAGAAAAATAAATTCTCGCACATTATGAATGGCCAAATGTTCCTGTACGTTTGTATGTCATCTTTATTGGATCTCCTTTGTTTTTGTTTTTCTTTTTTTATGTCTCTCTAAATCTGTATTTTTAAAAATCATCAAATTTAATTTTTTAAATTTAATTTAACAGTTCAAATTTACATTATTCTCTTCTCCCCTCTCCTTTGCAGGTGAGAAATCCAACTCCATCTTTATTTTTCACCCATTCGTGGATGCACTAAATGTGCATTATCTCTTACGACATGACCTGTTAAACATAATTTTTTAAACGAGATTAATTAATAGACTGAATAATTTGTTTAAATGTTCTTTAAATGTTATTTACAAAAAAGAAGTGCAGCATCTTAAACAGTAAAAAACTGCAACTTTTTATGTTAGAATTATTCAATTAGTATTAATAATAACTTATATTTTCAGTGCTTCATAACTATTATAATGTAGATATCAAATTAAAATATAGTTCCAGAGCTTCTTTTTAAAAAAAAAAAACAAATTCTTCGTATGTTACTTTCTCCGTTTGACCAACCTTCGTATGTTACTTTCAGAAAGGGGTAATTTCAGTCAAGTCAACATTTTTGCCTTGTATGAAAATTGGTAAAATAAAACCCTGGAATGATCATTACCCATGAATTCCAACAACTGCCCTCTGTAACATTTTATGATATTAAACAAGTACGGCTAATTTTTCATTTTGTGTTCATAATTAAACCCTGGCATGTTCCCAAACTGTTATGATTTTGTCAGATCAGACTAGAACTCAGGCACGGGCCGATGGGTGCCAAGAACAAAGAATTGGCACAAGTCCTTGCTCCTTTGAGGATCGATCTTAGACGAGACATAAGTCTGCTCTATATAAGACTGTAATATCAAAATTCTCCCTCAACTATATGCTTCGGAGACGCGGATGACTAAGTCTGCTCGCTATAATTAAATGGATTACATAATTTTTAGTTCGGTGCGCTTCACCTATATGCTTCGGAGAAGCAGATGACCATAAGTCTGCTCGCTATAATTAAATGGATTACATAATTTTTAGTTCGGTGCGATATTTTAAAAGAGAAAGCAGAATTCATGGAAAACTGATGGTAGGTAAAACACAGATGAGAAGGACCAAGAGAACGGAGATACCAATAACATGATTCATTCTAATGCCTGCTCAAGAGAGTTGCACCAAACCGATGAAAAATGTGTCAAAACTCAAAAAGGTGGAGTTCACTAGATATGAATACTCACTGTCCTGGTGCACCTAGCTTAGTTGGTGTACCATATATTCCCATCCTAAGTTCTCTATCAACATCGCCATCAAGAGTTACATCAAGAGTAGGGTTCTGCATCCCGAAGACAAATTGAATAATATTATCAGGCAGTTCACAACAGAACAACTCTGTCAAGTCACCTTGCCTCCGTGCCTGTCAAAAATCGTGTCTAATCCTAAATGACCATCCATGTCTCAATGATTCCCCCACCATCCCCCCCCCCCAAAAAAAAACCCCAAAATATATATATAGTAACAGTGAAAGAGACAGAAAGAATGTATCCTATTTCATTTCTTTAACAAAGAACGCGATGGAGAACAGAAGTGTGATGGGAGGCATACATGACAAAGGCTTTGCCTGATAGCTTTCTGTGCTTGTACCCACAGAGTGACTCCAGTTGATCATAATAACTTCAGTGTTGGTTAATCAACTCATGCCCCAACCACTCCAGAGGCCCATGGAACAATCACTGGTGCAGATGGGTGGGAGTTTCGATATGATTCAGGATACTTATACTTAAAATTTAGTCGTGGCTTCTCAGCCTGGCATCAGATCATCAGGAAGACTATATTAGACAGAGGGAAAACAAGAAGGAACATGATCAGGAAGAATGTAAGTAGGCCAAACCAGTAGTTACATTTGTAAAGTCCAAGAAAATTTACTGAGATAGAATAAAAAAAAAATCAGGTCATTGCAAATATGTAGAGAAGAGGAAATTTAGCGAATCATCAGGTAGAACTCACATATTTCAGCCAGCACTCTTGATGTTTGTGCTGATAGATATCTGGAGAATGACAACCAAACTCAGATGGGCAATAAACCCAAATATTACATTTCCGTTCACCTTCTTTGGCATTTCTTGCTTGGTCCAAGCAAGCCTGACAGCAATCAGCTGCACTATCTTTGTGATGGGTAAGACCCCATCTTACTGCCACACCATCATAATCTGTGTGAAGTTCAGGATGGCACTCCGGAGGCATGGGCCTGCCAGGAAGAATTTCCTCCTCTGAAAGAAAGCATGCTCAGTAAATAAAAAGAAGAAATTTTTGCGTCATAAAATATATGCACATTTCTAGCACCCAAATCTAGGATTAGTATGCATGTTTCCCCAGCCAGCAAACCAATCTAGTGCCAAATTTTCAACAGAACATGTATTGCAGCTTCATTTTCCTGTATCAGACAGGGTACTCAGGTGACATTACATTAAGATTTAGAGGGGGAAAAATGAACACGAGAAGATTATATTACCAAAATCTACTTCACCCTCAGGTTTATCATCATGTTCCTCATTAGCAACTTCACCAGGCATCCAGAGGCCAATTTCTTCAGAAAGCGCAAGCCAATCAGACTCCAGAGCTCTTACTAGCATCCCTAAGAAGTTGCAATAGTTACTAGTAACATGAAAAGACAAGTAAAGGATTCAAAAGCATAACACAACCAACTAGACCATCACAGAAACAATAGGAAAACAAAACTACTCATGGTCATACCTGCCTCTTTACGAGCAACGGTTGAGTTAGAAGTCGATTGCACAAGAGCCAACTTAGCTTCCTTCAGTTTTTCCTCACGCCAACTTTCAACTGCTTCTGTATTGTTTAGAAGTAATATCACCAAAAGGAGAAAGAGAGAGAATCAATGTCAAAAATACATAAGCAAAGAATCTGCCAAATTTTAGCAATTTAACATTTATATAACATAACTGAATTTGTATCCAGAATTCTAAATTAAAACAGCTATGAATAATTCAAAGAAAATGTTGGATTAGAATGCCCAGCTCTCCAGGGGAAAAAAATTCTAACACCAGAAACAATACATTCGCTCCACCACGTCAATGAGATGGTTGCCTGCTCTACAAAGAATAACTACCTCTCAAGTTTGGACTCAACATAAAGGTCAGGTACAACAAGATACAGACGCAAGGACAATTTCCCATATAGAGTTCCTCTATTTGGCTTTTTTTTTTTTTTTCACCTCACTTCTCAGTTCTTAAAATCACTCATTCTTTATTGCTACTCTGCACAGTCAAAAACTAGTATAGCATCAGTCAGTGACTCAGCAAGGATGAAAGCCAAACAAGCAGAGTGAAAGCCAGATCTTCCCGTGGAGAAAACCAAAAACTCAAAGCAGCACACTCAAGTATCCCGTGTTGAAGGACAAACCTCACCATCCACTCTCCTCTCTCCAGGTTTCACATTCTAAATGTAGCAACTCAACCTTAACCTCATCTGCCAACTAAACAAGACAACGACTGAGGAGAAGAAGTGCTTGCTGAAGTGTCACAACCATACCCGATTACAATAAGCCATGGCCTGTCCAAGCAGAAATTTTTTTCAAAAAAAAACTCGCAGGATAAGTCATACCATGTGCATATCCACATCTCATTAAACCCTCAATACCATCACCACAACCAGAATGAAGCATCCAGGTTTGCATGATAACTACTTACTAATCTTTACACATTTGGGGAAAAACTGAGATTCAAAAAGGAAAAAGTAAACAAGTTTTTGCCAAGTGGAAGGTACAATCATTTGCAATCGGGCTTGTTTGTATCGTCTTCACGCAATGTTAATGCAGACAAGAATAGGGAACTCTTCATGCCTCCACTATCAAACTTATGTCTTATTTTCCACAAATCCATTTAAGATCAAGGATCAGGCACCAGAGGACCTCAAATCTCTCAAACACAGGTAACAATTAAAAGCTTTCATGCAGAGAGAGACCCAAAACTTGCATGGCATCGATGGCAATATGCAGTTAATTATCACCTTACATGCAACTAGATAAAAATACCAGGAATGTGTTTCAAACTAAATCAAATGATCCCCCAAAAAAACACAAAAGGATTGAAGGATAACTTTCAAGCAAATCAAAGAATCTCTGCTTGCGTTCAAATTATAATGAAGAAAGAAAGGCTGCTAATATATCTTACTAAAGTATTTCCTCACTAAGCAAAACCTAGCAGCAAGTATCTTTGCTTATATTAGCTTGACCTGAGACTTCCACAAAATTTGCATCTAATAAGCTTGATCTGAGACATAGCTAGTTTAATTCTTGAATTACAAAATTTGCATCTAACAAGCAAGCTAGCAAGGAAGAAAAAGATTAATATGTCCATGCAGTAGCTATGTGGCGCACGCTTGAATCTTCTCCTTCCCACACAACGAACCAACCCTGCTCCTTCCAAAAGAAAAGTGTTTGCTATGAAGTGTCTGATCTTTGAAATACCAACAATCTCAGTATAAAGACAATCCATCGAAAGTAAGAGCATCAGTTATAGCACCAGTCCAAAGTGCCAAATTCTTCCAATTTCAAAATGGGTACACTCAGTATGTAATTCTTAACAATAAGCTTATTCTTTCGACTCAAAATTTACACTAGTGATACATGACCACTTGATAATAAACCTTTACACCTTCCCGCCCATGGCAAATGAATCTGGCCGGGAAAAATAAGATAGCTGTTGACATTCTGTTATTCCAACAATCGAAGTAAAATTGAGTTACTAAAACGCTTATCAAGGTTCGGAAAGGTAGGAATATTATATTCGCATTAGTAAAATTACAGGCATTGACTCACCTTGCTCCATGGCAATATTCCGGGTAGTGTTCGTGGCAGTAGAATTCAAGCTCCTCAGCGTCAGCAATATCTCATCCATTATTTTCTGTCTTAAATGCTGAGGCAACTGAGACCCCCTCTCTTCTCTTGATAACTCCCCTTCCAGTACCTTAACCTTTTGGTACAACGGTTTTATAATAGATTAACTTCTGTTCAATTCACGAGGAAGTGATAGCTCGAGCTAAGCATAGATGGTTCTTACCCATTTAACCAATTCCTGGGGTTTATATGCCTTACGGATTTGGATTGATTCTTCCATTTTCCGAATCTGGTCCGAAGTATACGGGACAACTGGAAAGACGATAAATTCAAAATTAAATCGAATGAGAGGATTTGGAGTTTTAGTATCAAAAAAGTAAAGCACGCTGTTAATACAAAGCAGAAGTGGGTTTTTAAGTTACGGAAACCACCTAAGCAGAGGCCAGTTTTAAGGATGAAAGATTAAAAATCCAAAATACCCACAATATTTCGAGCAGAAACCTATTTCAATACTTTATTCTGTTATGGGAGACAGGGAGGAGAACAGAAAACATCGACAATCACTAGTAATTCTATCATGAAAAAAGAAGAAGAAAATCCACCCGATCCTTATATATATATATATATATATATATTTAGCCAACAAATCCAATCCTCAGGTCGATACTTACTGCTTCGCGAAACGTTCCCCGAGTAGATATAAAGAGAGGCATAAAGAGTGCGAAGAAAGTAGAGAGCAACCGCAATGTTGAAAAAGCAAACTATGATAGCAGTTTTCTTGTACGAGCAAACCCACTTCCCTCTTCCTTGAAGCCCCCACTCAATTCTCGCCATAGCCCTCTCGCTTGCCCTTCTTCTTTATCCTCATCCCAATCCCACCATCGCCCACTTTCTTTCTCTTTCTTCGAAAAGGGCAGTGATTTGACGATTTCAATCTGAGATTGCGCTCACTCCAAATAGATCGATGAATCACGACAGGTTCAAAATGACAACTTCACCGCCAATCTGTGATTCGTGTTTACTATCCGACGGGCCAAGCAGCGGTAGCGTGATTATTCTTGCTCTGTTAGCTCCTCTAATTGAATCTAGTAATCGTGGTTCCCAAAAACAAAATAGTAATCGCGATTCCCTAATCGCATTTTTTTTTTTTTAACGAAACACAGGATCGTGCTTGTGCTAACGTGGCGCTTTTTGTCAATAGCTGTTGGGGATTAGGTGCTCCGCTCAATCATTTCGGTGGTTCCGTCATCATTGACGGCATGATGCTAAAGTGCGCTTGTGATTAGCGATTTGGCGTGTCTCCGCCGACGAATGCTACCGTACGCCAGTACTCCTCGAAAACTTCTTCTTCCCGTCAATATCCCACTTCTTTTGGCACCCAACCAAAAAAAAAAAAAAAACACAATAAACACTTCTTTCGAATTTGTTTCAAATGGCATTGTTTGTCTTGCCTTCTCTCCATTTTCTTTTCTCTTCACTTTTTTTTTTACTTTCTATTTCAACCGTTAAATTTATTTTTAATATTTCATAAAATTATTATTACTTGTTGGTGTCAATATTTAAGCTTTATGTATTTCACTTTGAAAGAAAGATTTATTACTCCACATGTTGATAACCTTTATTTTAATTTGTATATTGATTAGTAGCTAGAAGGAACTATGCTCCTAATTTATACTATAATTTTTAAACTTTTGCTGTTGTAGAATTTTTTAAAGATCCTAGTTACAGAAAATATTTTATCAAAATTTCTACAAAAGTGTTAAAACTTTCTTATGACAATTAGTATTAAAATTATCATAACTTTCATATAATTTGATTATTATTTTTTTCTTTCTTTTGTAAAATAAAATAAATTTTTATCTTAAGGCTTATGGGGACGTGTGAAGTGGTTCGCACCCATGTCGGTCACCTTTTATTTTTAGGGTATGACATAAACTAAATTTCAAAGTTTTTAATGCTGCAAAGATTATCAATGCCTTATACGCATATTTGATTGTGAAGCTGCCATCATTTGAAGGCTTCTAACATCATCTACATTAGGATGAGGAGGTTGAACAATAATGATATGATTGATGATTTTCAAGTGAAGATATATGTATAATTGAGCAACCTTCCAGTTGCCATCACTAGAACAAAAATCTATAACTTTATCATAAAGAATAGAGTTAGCATTAGGTATCGCATACTTGACTAAGGATTTAAGAAGGGGGTATATGTGTAATACCAAAAAGATATTATATTGCCACTTCCTACCTTCCATCCCACATGAGATATGAACTGATCCCAAACTTTATAAGTACTAGACCATATGTAAAAGTAAGAATTGATTTTATAAACTATGAAAATGATAACATTATTGCATTTATATTTGTCCTGAAGGACACGAACCTAAAGATAATTGAGTTTCATTGTGATTCTCAAGCAAAGTTTTATAATATAGATCCTATTTTAATTTTTAAGCTTCTTTAAAGTCAAGACTTCTCTAATTTTTTGTTTTTGGTGGCAAAGTTCCGAGATAAGAGGCAAGGCTTTTTAATCCCATCAATTGAGTTTCAAAGGAAGTCATAGGAATGAGTGGATATTATCGTGCATAAATGTTATTCCATCAGAGATAATTTTATTTGATAATCAAGACGTGGTCAGACATTAAATACAGACATTAAATAACATGAGCATATTTTTTAGCAAAATTCAAACATCATTTCGCCACACATTTAATGCATGTCTTTGAGACCTTGTTCCGTGATCATCAAATGTGTGGTCATTCACAAGCTCCAAGAAGGAAACTTTTTATGCTGCTATTGACCTGAACTCGAAAAGAAACACATCAAAAATGGTTAGGTGCTTGAGGGTCTATGTGGATTTCCTTTTGGAATTAGCTCTGGAATTAAAATTATAATTTTGCAAAAATTAATCTAAATATTTTTAAGTCTATAAAACTCTATTTTGGAGAAGTTATTTTTTTTCCTCCCTGAAAATCAAATTTTAACATTTAGAATTAGTCCTGTGATTACAATTATAGTTTTGCAAAAATTTATCTAAACAATTTCAAGTCTGTAGAACTCTATTTTGGAGAAATTACCTTTTCCCCCCTTAAAAATCAATTTTTAACATTTGAATATTTCCTATTCCTCCAATTTTTATAATTGATTCTTAAAAGTTAGTCAAACATTTTTAATTATAAAAATTAATTTTAAAAAAATATTATCCAAGCACTATCACATTTTGTTAATAAGCTTTTTTTATAATCAATTTTCATCAATTGAAATTCAAACACACCCTTAATTGTATATTGCCTTTAAGACATGTGAGGAAGTTACAATTCAACATGTTCCTTTCTTGTGCACGTTATATCCTATGGTGCTTTTAATCAAATCATGCATATTAATAAAAGTTCATTATTTATCTTAAATTCCATTAAATCACAATAATTTTTAAATTTTTCTCATAATAATATCAATTAATATCATGGTGGTAGTGGGTAAAGTACGTAATCAATATGTCTCCTATTTTTTGAAGACAGGTGTAAAATTATCTAATTACTCAAAAATGTTACAATACTCCTTATATTTAAGAATAAAATAAGCTCATAGAAAACATTTTATGTATTGAAACGGAGGGAGTAATTGGTTTGATTTTTTTTTATTAGTCATACAATTGGTTAGTTATTTGTGAACAATTGGTGTATTATTGTGTGCAGATATTATTCTATCAGAGATAATATTCACATTACGGTCAATTAGTCCATTTTACTATACTCAATTTGTTAATTACTGTAAACAATTTGTTAAATGTCTTCTGTTCCCTTGCATTCGGAGGGATGATGATATCATATAATGGTACTTATTCAAGTAATCAATGAGTTAACTTTTTATTTGAAGATTTTCAACATTTTCACTTAAGCTTCTACAGTCTTTTAATTTGAAGAACTTTTCACTTGAAATGCAATTCGACGGGTCAAAGGGTGCCTTGAAATGTATGAGATAGGTTTCTCTCTATTACATTTTCCTTCCACTGTAAATATAAACCATTTAAATTAAATATTTATCTTTAAAAATTATCAAATTTAAATAATCAAGTTTAATTTAACGATTTAAATTTGTAATTTTTCTTCCACTACAAAGAGCGAAAGCCTACTCTAGGATGTATTCAGAAATGACTCAAAGATGCATTCAAATATAAAAGTTGCCTGATTTACCAAAAAAATTCAAAGTCATTTGAAAAAGTCATTAAAAGTCCATTTCTCCAAAGCTACTTTCACTTAAGTCTGGGTTTGATTATTTTTTTTGGCCGATTGCATTTGAAGTTGGAGTTTGGGCATTAATGAGGAAGTGAATAATTTTTATTTTACTATCATACCCTTATGATTATTTACCAAGCATTATTTTTTTTTCATAGATTGTTAAGCTTGTAATTTTCTATAAACCACAGATTGTAGGGAGGCTAGGTAAATCATATGGGAAGCGATCATCAGCACTGACCCAAAAATTTATTAGCTTGAGAAAAGTAATCACTCAGCACTGCTTCGCACTTAATTGGTTAAACAAACAAAAAAGGAGAGTGAATTTATGAGACTGAAAATAATGAGCAAGGTTAATCAACAGATGTTATTTATTTTTTGGTAAGCATTATTTAACATATCAATTTTTGCTATTTAAAATTTTGATTTATATACTCTCTTTGTTAAAAAATGTAAGGTATTTTTAACTGAATCTCACTCTCCAATAAAATTTTTATCTACTTTCAAACTAACCCTATCTTCTTATATTTACCCCTATTAAATACCCTACAATAAATATAAAGTTATAATCAATAAGGGTACTTTTAAAAAAAGATAATGATTATATCTCGAAAGACTAAAAATATTTTATATTTTTGAACATCTAACTCTTCAAAACATGTCTTATATTTTTGAACGAAGTGAGTATATATTTTAATCATTTCAAATATATTGCATGTGTGCAATAAATATTACACATCAAAAAATCAATATTCTTTTCTGTAATTATATACATAAAATTACTTTTCACTATATATTATCAAAATATATTTTAATTTATTAAATTAAATTTTAAGAAAAATGTATTTAGATAAAAATTATTATAATAATTGAGTTTTATCAAACTAATTTTCATAAAAAATATTTGATGAATGGATTTTCAAAAAATGAAAAACCAAACAAGTCCTAAACTGGGGCTAGAAATTAGTACCATGCTTGAATTTTTAAAAATTTTGTATAGTCAATGTTGTTGTATGATCTCTATTTATAATTTTTCTTATAAAAAAATCAGAATTCAAGACTTATTTGAATAATTCTTGAAAATACATTTAAAGTATATTTTTATCAAATTCAATAAATAAGTAAATTCTTCAAATAAATTTTTTTAAATTAAAAATTAAACATATCCTTAATTTTTTAATTTTTTATTTGCGCAGCTAAGTTAAACCTAAAGGGGCACTACGTTTGATAAAACGGATCAAATCATGATCCAACATCAATGTGTGCATTAAATAACTATTAGTCAACAATAATATGATTTTTTTTTTTGCTCTTCTTTCTTTGCCATCAGGATTTTTTTGGTTTTGAAAGTTTTTTGTTGCTATAATTAAAATTTTAAAAATCAAACGCATCATTAAATTAAATAAAATACTTATTTAAGGGTTATTAGTTGGATGTGGTTAAACTGTTTATAAATAATTTAATATTTTTAATAATATACATAAAAATAATAAAATAAATCTACCAATAACCAACAGTTAAATTAAAAAATATTCAATTAAAGGTACTTAAATTTATAAAATATTCATACCTTACCATTAAATTTGTTTGGAAAAAAAATATAAGTACCTACTTTATATAGCACTTACGTCCTCTCCGTAATTTCGAAGACAAAACCACTAACATGCATGCACAGAAATTTATAAAATGGCCGTCCCTCTTCTTTATTCTCTTCTCGGCTCCCTGCCCTCTCCACCTCTCTTTGACACTACTCTGTCATTATTTATAAATTATTTTTAATATATTTTATCAGTATTAAATTTTTTTAAAAATTTATTAACTTTATTTTAAAATTTAATAAATTTTTAATTTTATCTCTGTTAAATATATACACTTTATTAATGTATTTTTTCTCCTCAATATTCAATCGAAGGTAAAAGAGAATATTTATAATAAAAATTTAATGATATGACTTATAAATATAACAAAAAAAAATCTTTTCTCCCCATCTCATGAATAAAATCAGAGAGAGTATGATTATGACATATTAATATATATTCCCTTCATCCCTATATATAAAGTATTTTTAATTGAATCTCGCATACCAATAAAGTATTATTATTTAGTTAAACTCACATAAATACACAATGATTTTTCAGTTTTGCCCTTGATAATACATAATTAATATCATGATGGTAGTAAAAAGATATACATTAATGATCTATTCTATTTTTTAAGATAAAGGTAGAATTATTTAATAAATTAAAAATATTATTGTCATTTTTATATTTAAAAATAAAATAAATTTTAAAAAAATACTTTATTTATAAAGAAAGAAGGAGTAATAATGATATTAAAATCACTACTACAAGCCCTCGAGACGTAATATGCCAATACTTTGAGAGAAATGGCTACTTTTATGAGGCAAAAGCTAAGGCTTGTTTGGCAGTTTTTTATTCTTCAAAATAAAATAAAAAATCTATTTAATAATATATTTTTAAAAAGTGTTTTGAAAAATAAAAAAAATAAAATATTGTTAAAAAGAATAGAAAAACAGAAATGTCTTTTAAGTGTTCTTGGATTATTATTCTGAAAAACAAAAAAAATAAAAAATATTTATTTTTATTTTTATTATTTTTTCAGAACATGTTGTATAAAACATTAATCCTTAAAACAATAAAATAAAAATAATTTCAAAAATTTCGTGCTCCCTTTCTATATTTTCAAGAGCTGGTTATCTTCATTTGTCTCCGTCGTCGGTCTGAGAGACAAATAAATCTCTGGCATTTTTCCTTCAATCTCATGTTTTGTAGCAAATTTTACAACGGAAGCTGGGAAGCAGCACGCCAAAGTGATGTTTACAACAAAATATCTTCTCTTCTTGGATTTTTTTTTTCAATCTTTTTTATTTCTCCATTTTTTATCTTTTTTCCAGCTTCTCATACCTATTTTTTAACCGTTAAAGGCCAAATCGCTTGAACCGGTAGATCGGTCAGTTTTTCTAGTTTTCCTAGTTCATTGACCCATTTATCAGTTCTTGACTGGTCTCGTTGAGTAGTATTGTGTAAAAATTCTTCAATCCAGTAAGATTTAGTCCAACTCAAGACAAGTTCGATCCTATCCTGTTTAGATAAAAATTAATCTTTTAAAACCAAAAAGATCAGACTTTTTCTTGGTTTGCACTGAATAAGAGACCAAATATCTAGACCACTTGATTTGATCCGGTCTTATAAATGTATTTAATACAATTATACTTAATTTATTAATTATTATAATAAGTTAATTTATAATAATAATTAGTATTTTTTGTGTTTTATATTTGTGAAGTCATGAATATCGAGTAAAATTCTAACATTGATAATCTTCAGTCTTCCTCTTTTATTAGTGAAATTTATTATTAATTTGGTGTAATAGACTTTACACATGTTGAATGTTGTTGAAGGTTGTTTGATTTAAATAATTTGTATCATAACTGAAATATTTTTTGTTGTTGTTGGAAATTATTCTGAATTTATAATTGTTATTGTTGTGATAAATTTTACATGACTATAAACAATTTTATTATATTAAATAAATTACTGCCTCTCATGGATAAAACAAAAAAAGAAAGTGAGATGCTGGATAAAATCGTGACTAGTCTTTTAATCTTACTAGATCAGTCTGATCATGTTTAATTTCAAACTATATTAGGATCAAGTCAGATTATGAGTTGCTTAACTTAGTCTTTTTTATAAAAAAGATTTGAGTTAGGTCCAAATTCAACCGAGTCATTCTTTTATACAGCCCTCCCTTCCCGTTCTGTAACATTAATAGCCGTTTGGTTCAAAGAATCAAAGGGAATGTAATGTAATGCAATGCAAAGCAAAGGAATGGAATGGAATGGAATGTAATGTAATGAGAATTACATGTGTTTGTTTGGTATGTTATATAAGAAAGGGTATTTTGATATAAAATGTGGTTGTAATGAGGATTACATAGGTTTATTAATGTAATCCTCTTTATAGTGTATGATGTAATTCCCTTTATATTATCTGGTGTCAACCAAACAGCTAAAATCATGTAATGCATTAGAATTATAGATAATCTCCTTACACTGCATCAAACTAAACAGACTATAACTGGACCAGACTAGCAACCAATTGAACTGGTTGGTCCAGATTTTTAAAACCGCAGTTGCAATCAACACGAGGGCTTTAAGCCTCAAAGCCTTGAACGTCACTCAAGCGACCAAGTTTAAGGGAAAAGTTAAATCGTGCTTATCTCGAGAACGTGGCACAAAGGTTGGTTTTTTTGACTTTTTGTGCATCTCTTGGGTAAAACAAAGTTTAAAATGATCTTTTGAAAACCAAATCCTGTGCTGCAACAGCGAGGAGTGCCTCTCTGTCTTGTAAGGTTCAGCTCTGGGAAGTGTGAAATTTGAGTTGAGGCTCGACAGCTTCCAAACAAGTTCATTAACGCTCGCCTTTGAATCTAGCACAATCTTCGTCTTCCGATTTCAAAAGCTGCGATTAAATTACCACCTCATGCGAAGAAAGGGAGCCCGTATTGACCTGAAGTTACTTCATTCTATCCAATCCGAATCAGCTGCTGTTTAGGAATTCGCCTTCTCAGCTCTGTAAGACTAGAAATTAAATGCTTGGAGTTCTACAGTAGAGAATTATTTCATTTATTTTTGAAAAAAAGGGAGGAAAATGTGGGGATTTGGGGGTAGGTTCTACTGGGGACAAAATCTGGTGCCCGAGAGAGCTGAAGGGATAGTTGTGGTATTCGCATGGATGTCAAGCGACGAGAGGCACTTGAATAAATACGTAGATCTCTACTCATCCATCGGATGGAATTCGCTTATCTGTCACTCCCAATTTCTCAATATGTGAGTTTCTATTTGCCAAATTTGTCTGACCCCCGATTGCCCCACTTTCATGTTAATCACGAAGTTAACGATCAATCATCCCCCTATATCTGGTGTATTTATGTTCTTGCAACTTCACCTTATATATCTATACTTCTGTTTAAAAATGAATCGCTGGTGATAATTGAAATACACAGTGCAAGATTGATAGTTTTGTAATCTGACAATGCCAGGAGTGCTGGTTGATAGTAATTCCAACCAGCTGGATATTTTCATGGAAATAATTATATACTCGAGCCGGCAACCCTATTACCCGTAGAAATTATATCTCCCCTTATGTTCTGCATCTATACGATGCTTTTAGTAGATCTTCAAATTTCTGCGAGCCTTTCTTCGAAGGATTTTCTGGAAGCATAATAAACTAATGCTTTGTTCTCTATAATTTTGCTTTTTTTTATTGCAGGTTCTTCCCTGAGAAAGCAACAAGTCTTGCTGCTAACATACTCAATGAACTTGTGAAGGTTAGTCTTATCTTAGTTCTCCACTTTGGCAAAAAGAAAAAAAAAAGTAGTTTAGGTCGCCTAAAAAGCAGTTTCAACTTTCAAGTGGAATATAACTCAGATTTTTTTAAACACTCTGCCACACTTTTACATATTTTAGTCCAGTCAAAAAATTGACTCGTTGGTTGAAGCGTGTGAAATGCCTCTTCATGCATGTCAATATGCAGGTGCTGAGAATTAGGCCTTGCCCCATAGTCTTTGCGTCTTTTTCCGGGGGTGCAAAAGCTTGTATGTTTGAGGTTCTTCAGGTATTCAATTCTATACTCTATCGCCTTGTTCGTCCCATTTTTCTTTTTAAGAGTATATATCAATGTCGTATTATTTCATTTGTTGTTAAATTTTTCCCACATCATACCATAATAAAATCTGACTTATGACAATTTAATTTCCCTTTGATTTCAGATTATCGAGGGAAAGTGTGAAGGACATAACAAGGTATGCATGTCTTTTCTATCTGCAGTTTATGGGATGCTTGAATTACATATATTATATCACATGATAGTGTTGAAAGCCAAATTCAAATATTCTGTAATTCCATTAATTAATTTGTCCTGTTTCCGTGTACAAACTATTTTAGTCAGTTTCCTGCGACATGGATCTTTATATCCAGGATTCTTGGTTTTTTCCCTTTTAACTTTTTGGCTGACTGATAATTCAATAAACTTGTAAACCATTTTAACAACACAGGTTGACTACCAGCTTGTTAGAGACTCTATTTCTGGCTATATTTATGATTCCAGTCCAGTTGATTTCACCAGTGATTTGGGTGCTCGATTTCTTTTACACCCTTCTGTTTTGAAAATGTCCCATCCACCAAGGTTTGCTTCGTGGATCGCAAATGGCATTGCATCTGGTCTTGATGCTCTCTTCCTCAGCAGGTTTGAATCACAGCGAGCTGAGTATTGGCAAACTCTTTACTCCACTATTGTAAGTGGTCAATGATAAAGAACAAGCTTTTCTGCCTTTCTTGTTCTGTTAGTTTTTTTTTTTTTTAATTTTCTACTTAGTCCTTATTGAGTTACATTCTATTGCAGAGGATGCAGGCCCCCTATCTCATTTTTTGTTCTGAAAATGACGATCTTGCTCATTTTCAAGTTATTTCAAATTTTGTCCAACGACTAAAAGACCTTGGCTGTGACGTCAAAATGGTAAAATGGGATACCTCTCCTCATGTAGGTAAGCATCTGCAGTCTACACTTAATTTGTGAGAAGATCCTACTTGACAGACCTGTGCCTGGTTGAACGATGAAGATCTTGTCATGATTTTATTCTTAAAGTAGCATGCTTTAATATCTATGCAAGTTCGGTTGTCACTTGTCAATATCACTCTAGCTATTGCTCGTCTATTTTGGCAGGAAAAGCCATTTTGCTTGTTAGTCCTTCACTGGGAAAATTTTTAAATTTACATTTTACATCACATTAACGTCCTGGCTGAGAAAGCAACTGCCCATCGTTTTTTTTTTCTTCCTGTTTTTGTCAACTTTGACTAAGCTGAGAGCAGAAAGATGATAGCATCATTTGTTCTGTTTGAGTGCGGTTACAAGGGGTTAAGAGACCTGCGTTTTCATGAAACTGCAATGAGCACAGTAACTAGACTTTCCCCATTCTCTTACTGTATTTTATTCAGGTCATTATCGGCACCATCCAATAGATTACAAGGCTGCAGTCACTGAGATCCTTGGCAAGGCAGCTACAATTTATATTTCCAGAAAAAGACCCGTTGAAGATAAGAGACTGGGCATTGAGGGAGCAAAAGATGGAATCTTACATCCAATCAACAATTTCAGGAAAGCTGCAACGACTTCAACCAGTTTTCAGGGCTTTGCTGTTGCTTCTGATGATTGGTTGTCAGGTTCAATGAATTATTACGAGGGTAAACGTGTTGGTTCTGTGCCAGATGAACGCAAGGAAGGCTTGATTCATTTACGGGCTCGCCCCAGCATCAATGCGTATGGGGTTCTTGGCCAAGCGTTATTTGATATATGCGTTCCTGAGAATGTTGAGGATTGGGATATCAGATCAAATTCCAAGAATGCACGATCATTCGCTGGTACAAGGAGGCATGGTTCTTTCAATCCTATAAAATGCATATGGCGCTCGAGGTTGTAGGATGTTGACTAGTTTCGCAGGACTCAGGCTGACAACTCTCCAACGAGTAATGACTTCGAACTTTGAAGGTGATGTTGCCTTCAAACTCGTAGGCAACTGTTTGGACCCCGGCAGATTCACCAAGGCCCAGACATGTATAGTACCGAAAATAAGAGGCTGAAAGGGTGAAACCTTAAATGTGATTTGTTTGTTTTCTGTTAGGGGAGGACATCGTGATGGGTCAAGCAGTTCGTCATTCTGGAACAAAAATTGAACAGCTACTTGACTTCACCGGAAAAGATATACTGTTATGTTTGAGATCACTTGACTGTTTGTTCCAAATCGAGTTGACAAAGTGCTTTTGGAAAGTGATATATTTCTAAATTCTAACTTCGGTACTGCTCCCTATTTCCTGGTCACTAACGTTTATTATTTTTTTAGTACTGGTATATACGCATTGATGCTCCTGATCTTAAAAATAGGAGCTAAATAATTAATTTTACAGGGAATAAAGGAATTAGTTAAATTAATTATTTATAAAAAAATGTGTTGATTTTTTTAAAATACCATTTTTAGTCATTTATAATTTTATATTGAAAACTGCCTATATTAAAGTAAAATTTGAGAGATGACTTCCAAAAATTTGATTACCTGTGCAGTACGCGTATAACTGTAAAATAGTAAAATTTGGCATCATTTTAAAAAAGATAATAGATATAAATACTTATATTTAGCATATTGAAAAAAAAAGACCAATTGAAAACCTTTTGAATTGTTTGATGAAATTCAGTTGACCATATTTTAAACATAAATGCCCCGATCTATGATATGTTGGTCACATCTTGCAAAATTGATGGCAAGAACAATGTCAGTGAAACAAATAATCCAAGTTAACAAATACAAAATAATTAATAATCATACAAATTAATAAAGTGATTAAAAGAATAATGAGAGGCATCTAAATATACAATAGATCCAAAAATGAATGAAATACAATAAAAACCTTAATCAACAAATGAACATGTATCCACATTGTTCCATTTATAATTAGTATGTAAGTTGATGTTGTGGGAAACTTTTAATTTGGACTTTTAATTAATTAAAATTCAAATTAAAACCCGAACAAAATAACCAATTAACAGCCGAATCTTATTAACATTAATATATAAATAAAATAAAATTCGAGCCATCAATTTAGGCTCTAGCAAATTTAGCCAACATTATATGGCTAAATAAAATTAATAACCCACATTTTTCTAAATCAAGATAATGACTGTTTCTCAAATTATCTTCGATTTAAAAGACAAAACTATCTTTAAACATTGCAATATTCTAATTTCTCTTTTTCACGCTAATTTTGCTTTCACCCATCTGAAGACATAGAAACGATACTATACTCTTGGTCACGATGGTGAAGAAGCTGACAGTAGACAACTAAATAGTTCACGCCTATGGATAAATGGAGTTAGAGATTCAGTCAGGAGACTATAAGAACAAGAGTTGAGGCAGACTGGAAGCTATAGATTCAGGTTGAAAAATCACAAATACGAGGTGAGGAAGTTCGAAACTGTAACTTCTACACAAAGCCACATTAAAATTGCAAATTCGAGGTGAGAAAGTCCGATCAGACTTTGTTACAAAAGCTAGAGTTCAAATAAGGGTTTCCTGAGATTTTGTTTGATCTGTTTTGAAAAAAATGATTATGTATTTTTTATGTTATTGATTTGCGATACTGCATCATTGATATATGACTGTATATCAATTATAAATAAATTTATGTCTAGTTATATTGATTTACAATAATATATTGGTGATATACTATTATCACTAATATATAAGCTATGTCAGTGAAAACTTACTAATTTGTTTATCATTGATATATAGTTGTATATCAATGATATAGTATTGCAGATCAGTAGTGGAATTTTATTTTTAATGCTAATATCCTTTTCATAATATCTGAGAAAAACAGAGAGGAAAAAAGAAGAAAAGCTCCATGATGAAGATGGTGATCTAGGCAAATTAGATTAAAAATTCTAATGAATAAAAGCATTATATGAGAGATGAATATAATGATCCAGGAAAATTAAATTCGAAATTATGGTGAAGAAAATATTTAGAAATGATAAATCAAAAAGGGAGCACACACAATATGATTTTTTATGATAAAAATGAAAGATTTAATCAGCTAAAAATTAGTTAACTCAAATATTTTTTATTTTAATAATAAATTTATTCTAATGATAAAAAAGGAAAACACATCTAATTAATTTTATGAATGGGCCATATTTTAAAATATTTAAAAATATCATTTGTAATTTGTGAGAGTTGCATTTTTTGAGACCATTGAACTAATTTTCTCTACAATTGAATATTTCTCATAAATCACTGTTTAAACATGAATTATAGTGTTGGGCTCTCTTACTATGGATTTAGAATTTTTCTCAAAAGCACTTTTAAGTAGGAGTGTTCACGGGATGAGACGGAATAAGATCAGGACAGGATCGAGACACCACTGCCCCATGTCTCATCCTGAAAAAAGCCTGGGGTTGAAATTTTGTCCTGTATTTCATCCCATCTTGAAAGTCTTCCTGTCTCTTTAAGAATCAAGATAAGATTGGAACGTCTCGTCATCTCGATAAATCAGATAATGTCAAAGTAAGATCTAGACGATAACATTTATTAAAATTTTAAATCATATAATCTATTAAGTTTAAAATCAAAACAATACAAGTATATAAATCACAATAATTTAAAGTCAATTATTAAATTACATTAATCATAATTCCATATTATGATAGCAATTACAAATAATTTTTAAGCTATAAGAGCAGCAACAACAGGCAAACCGAGCATAATATCAAATCATTATTTTTCTATTTTAGTTGAAATGTGCTAAGCTAATTGCTCTTTTAAAAATAAAGTAAAAAAATATGATATAAATAAAAGTTATTAAATAGATAGATATAAAAATAAATTATATTAATATAATTAATATATTATAAAAAAAGATATATTTGTTTACTCTATATCATTAAAACTATTAATATAAAAAACTTTAGTTTTACATAAGAATTGCAAGTATTGAAATTATAATTAATATAATTAATATAAAAATAAATTATATTAATATAATTAATATATTTAATATTTATTTTAAAAAAATATATATATATATAATATTTGGGAGGAGCCGGGACATCTCGATGGTAATCCCGTGTTGTAACACCCTCAAATTTACAAACTGATTTTTCACAAATTATTAATTCAAGAAATCATTTTTTTTTTCATTGAACCCTTATCATACCCTTATCATGGTAGAAAAATTTCTACCATGATACATCCAAGACAATATACCACAGGTCTTAAAATATCTCAAAAAGCAATTATAACCATGAGGGACAGACATGATCCTCATAGCATGTTATTTAAATCAGGTCATGAATCAAGAGGGACAGATATAATCCTCTTGGTCATATAAATACTTTTAATAAAAAGGATTAGAGTTTACATGCTTCACAAAGAAGATATGTTCTAAGTTGGCACAAGATACATTGTATAATCCAAAATAAGAGGCAACGTAAAAGATGGTGTCTCATACACCATAATTACACCTCTGGTGCTTTCTCGGCCGGACTCGCTCCTGTAAAAATATTAACCACGGGGAATGAGACTTAAGAGTCCCAGTAACCAAAAATTAATATGTAATGATGCATGCGGATGTAACTAATCATGCGATTGCTAAGTGGGCACACAAAACATTTAACCGAATAATATTTTCAAACAAACCGAACAAGTATTTAATTGCATGACTGCACCTTATATCCTCCTTTCACCATGCTCGGACGCCAAATCACCCGGCCAAAGGTGAGTTGGACCAAGCGACACGCCACTCATTGGGTCCAATGAGGGCTTACCACGTGGTAATAATTAACCGAACAGAAATTCCCATTAACACCATACATTAAAATACCCTGACAAGTCATGCATCATTCAAATATCCAAACAGGAATATATCCGAACAATAATATCTCATCATGATAAATAAAAAAATAAAATTTTAACCCACTTGGCAATAATTTCAAACAAGTATATACAGTATTTATTTTCAATAATTCATAATTTTTCCAAACAACAAAACAACACATAACCATTCACAAACACACTCATCACAACACATTAATAATGGTTACCTTGTGTCTTGAATAACAAGTTCCCCTTCACAACTCCTTTTTCACCACTATCTTTGTCAATATAATCTACATAATTATTTCACAATACTATATATTAATTTTACATTAAAATAAATAACTCTAATTTAAAGAGTTAGAAAGTCTTAAATCTATAGTCCATATTAACACTAATTTAAGATTTATGCCTCATTTAACTTCCCAAATTCTTTTCTAAAATTCTCGTACCCTAATGAACTATTTTTTTTATCCTCAATTCACTTCTAGTATCACAATTTCATCCTTCTACATTCTAAAAATTCATCCAAAAATAAATTAAAAATTTTAGAATTATCCTGAAGTCTCAAATCACCTTTCTATAACCTCAAAAATACCTATTCATAATCATAGGTTTATCCCTACGTCTCAGATTCCACATAAATTCAACCATATAGATCTAGATTTTAACTCAAAAATTCTTAAACATGAGTTTCAACCTTAAAAAAATATTCTATAATATTTTTTATATCCCTAAGAATTTTAACCTATATTTTTAATCCATCATATCATCAGATTAACTATCCTATAGAAAAATCCTAATCAAAATATTTACTCTATCCTACAAAATAATCATATCACTAGAAAGCTAATATTATTTAGAAAATAACTATAAAATTAATTTTGTAATTAAATAAATTTTTAAATGCTAATCTAAACAGGAAAGTTAGAACATACCTGAAGAAAAAGAAAATAATCCCCCCTTGCGAGAAAACGCCGAGCAACGTGAGAGGAAGAGAGAAAAATAATATAAAAATGGGATTGTGAGTCCCAAAATTATATTAAAAAAAACTATAGGTTTGAATTTAATTATTCAAACCTTTGGGCCAAAAGTTACAATTTTCTCTAAATTGCATCTTAGCCTCTCATGCTTCCTAATGCACACACCCCCTCCTTTTTATACATGAAGGCACCTCTTCTCTTCCCTCATCTAACCAATGTGGGACTTAGAAACAACAACCTTCCACCCCCTTTTTTTTTGTTCCTTCTACTTTCTCTCTTTTTTTTTTCAACACATACATAAAAAAAATTATTTATGTATTATATCTTAACTAAATATTGCTTATGTGGTTTTGAATTTAAATTTTTAAATTTATAATTAAATACCCAACCATAATATTATTTCTAAATAACCTCAAATAATATAAATTTCTATTATTATCA